GTTAGTTGCTAAAAGATAAACATTCATAATATATGTGCATATATAAAAATACCTGTATATGGATCTTCTGGTCTTATATTCCTTCTGTCCATTTTCCTGCACTCTGGGGGCACACCCACCACCCTAAGGTCTGAAAACATTTACAGAAGGAAACTCACTGTCACAGAAGCGGCAATAGAGGCAGCCCAGGTAGGAACTAGCAAACTGCCCTTCCTAAGGCCGTGCACATGTGCACGCATTTCTTTTTTTTTTTTTTTTTTATTTTGCAATACAATTCAGTTCTACATATCAGCCACGGATTCCCTTGTTCTCCCCCCCTCCCATCCCCCTCACCTTCCCCCCAACCCCCCCCCCCCCCATTCCCATCTCCTCCAGGGCAAAGCCTTCCCCACAGACTGAGGTCAACCTGGTAGACTCAGTCCAGGTAGGTCTAGTCACCTCCTCTCAGGCCGAGCCAAACAATCCTGCATAGGCCCCAGGTTTCAAACAGCCAACTCATGCTATGAGCACAGGACCCGGTCCCACTGCCTGGATGCCTCCCAAACAGATCAAGCCAATCAACTGTCTCACCCATTCAGAGGGCCTGATCCAGTTGGGGGCCCCTCAGCCATTGGTTCATAGTTCATGTGTTTCCATTCATTTGGCTATTTGTCCCTGTGCTTTATCCAACCTTGGTCTCAACAATTCTCGCTCATATAAACCCTCCTCATTCTCCTTAATTGGACTCCCAGAGATCCACCCAGGGCCTTGTCATGGATCTCTGCATCCAGATCCCTCAGTAGTTGGATGAGGCTTCTAGCACAACAATTAGGGTGTTTGGCCATCCCATCACCAGAATAGGTCAGTTCGGGCTGTCTCTCGACCATGTGCACGCATTTCTTAAGCTCAGTTCTGGACTGCTTGACTTTAACTCAGTCAGCGTTTTAGATTTCTATGCATGGATCATAATGATTACTCGCAAAAATGTCACTTAACAAAAATGCTATGAAGGAACTGCATCACAAAAGATTGGATTAGAAGGGATGTTGTCTTATTGTTTAATATCTTAGCATCAAATATAAATGACTGACGTGTAGTGTTTAAGGAAAGATTTTTATTTTCTATTAAGGATTTGTGAATGTATATAGAGGAAGAAGTCACAAAATTTTATCATTTTTTTATTTCCTTCCTTAAGAAGCAGGGCATATGTGTGTGTGTGTGTGTGTGTGTGTGTGTGTGTGTGTGTGTGTGTGTGTGTATGATAGTAGGATGATAGCACTGGCTTATATATGTGATTATTTGCTATAATTAAATCCTAAAAATGAGCCCTAAAAGGTGTCCTCCATTATCGTTTTCATTTTAAAAATGAAGTGGAAGCTCAGAGTTCTCTGTCATCATGTGTTATTTTTACACAAATACCCAGTGACACCTAATTTTTAGTGCAGAGTTGTTCCAGAGACATTGCTGCAATATCAATTTAGAAATGGGATTTCATAGAGTTTGCATCAAATATCATTTAATTATTGAAAATAGTTGCTCTGTGGGCCAGCTAGTTTTCAGACATAGACACCTAAGCAACTCTCAATTCTGTTATCAAGTCAGATATCAGGATGCAGGCCATGCCAACTTCTCCTTTTTTGGTGTTGTCTCATTATATAGACTAGTAGAGAGCAACATTTTATATATATATTTGGTTTTTCGAGACAGGGTTTCCCTATGTAGTTTTGGTGCCTGTCCTGGATCTCGCTTTGTAGACCAGGCTGGTCTCGAACTCACAGAGATCCACCTGGCTCTGCCTCCCAAGTGCTGGGAGTGAAGGCATGTGCCACAGTCACCCAGCTAACATTTTATATTGTTTTAAGAATTTCATACATGAGCATGGTATCACATCATTTTTACCCCTCTATCTTCCCATCCAAATCCTCCACTCTGCACCTCAACTCCTTCTCAAATCCATGACCTTTCTTCATCACACACACACACTCACACACACACAAATGCATACATATGCATGTGTGCTCATAAAACCATTTAGTAGTAATGCTTAAGTGGACACATATTTAGGGATGATCAATTAGGGTTGGGTAACTTATTAGAAAGTTTGCCCCTGGAGAAGACTATCTCCCTCTTTCAGCAGCCATTAATTGCCTATAGCTTTTCATCTAGGGATGGCATCCTTTGCACTCTCCCCATCCCTGGGTGCATATCAGTCAGTGTTATCATTATGCAGGTCTAATTTAGGTGACTGTATTTGTGAGATTTCATTGTGCAGCTTCCCTGTCATATGTAGAAGACATTCTCTGGCAACAGACATCTTGGTTCTCTCTTACAGTCTTTCTGCAATAATCATACTTTACTGTAGCATAATATTTTTCAGTGGGCACTACTGGCATATGGAGATAGAGTTTTCCTTTTGATGGCAGTACATTATATATTGCAAGACCCCCAACCTTCTATCTATTAAGCACCAATAATGACTTCCCCATCCTAATTTATGGTGTCCTGAGTGTGCAGGTGCCACTAAACCTGAGAACCACTGTTCTAATGAAAGACTCAAGATACTAACAAGCCAGAAGTGCAAGGATTCATGTTATAAATATTTAATAAATGCTTACTCCACTGAGTGTAACTAAAATCGAAGCACTCAAAGAAATTGACAACTCTCCTGCTATAGATTTTAGACATTACGATGTTAGGTATAAAATAAATTATTAATGTGTTTCACAATTAAAAACTAAAAGTCGAGAGCGTGAGCAACTGGAGCAATTGACTGAACCTGTTAAAAACCATTTCATATCAAACTGTGTTAGTTACTTCTGTTGTGGCTGTGAAAAACATCCAAGGAAAAGAAATTAAAATCAGGAATGATTTATTTGGGCTGAAAGATTTCAGCCTAGCTCCATGTACTCAGACAGAATGTCCTGTTCCTGGAGCATATGAAAGTGGCTATTCTTTATCTCTTGGTGTGTAGGAAACAGAGAGAGACAGCAAAGGTCCAAGGATAAATACCGCCCCCCGCCCCGCCAAAAGACTTGCTCCAAGGGATTCCATGACTCCAATTGAGTGCCACCTGCTAAAGTTTCTAGAAAGTTCCCTAATAACTCCACCAGCAAGGAAACAGGCTATTAAAAGCAAGCACTGTGAGGGACATTTTGTATCCAATCTATAGCAAGTCCTAAAATTTGATTCCCTATGAATGAAGAGAAATGATAAGGTGTGATTATCACATAATGCCCAATTTCAGCAGAATATGTATCCATATTCACTTTTATGGGGTTCTATTAGCTTTTAAATAAAGTGACAGTTCTTTAAGAAACAGACACTACAATAAATGAAAGACCTTTCTAACTATGGTAAAGAAACACACACACACAAAAAAAAGCCATCATGAAAGGTGCGGTAAGTTTAGGAAAATGAAAGTTGCTATTAGATATGGCAGGTGTCACAACAGCACACGGTAATAAATGTAATCGTAACAATAAAGTAGGATTTGTATTTAGTTCTTTCCAAGGAGTTAAAATAATGAGCATCTTTTCTAAATTGGTAGTTTTTTTATGGAGTTGTCAAAAAAATAGTAAAAACAAGACAACATCTTGAAATGTGCAGGATATTTACCTTACTCAGAATCACTGATCTGGATATCTTTGTTTTAAGTTGCTTCTGTGGTCATTTCATTTATATCCTTTTATTCACTGTTCTATGTGATTAACTTATTCTTTTTCTTGAGATCTAACATAGTTGAACCAGTCTTTCTTATTATTTGGTTTTAATAAATCCATTGTCAGCTAAAACTTTACTGTTTTAGTTTTCACAGCATATAATAAAATCTGTATTTCTTACAGTTAACTTTTTTCTATTATAACAATATCATTTCTTTTGTGACTTTAAGTAAGAATGATATGTGCACATATAAGGTAATACCCACCTGGCATGCAGTGAAATGCCATCATTAGTGACTAGTGTTTTCCAGAAAATGATGAAGCTCTGCAATACAGAAAATGCATGCTGGGGAGACCTTACACACAGGAGCTATTAGTGTTCAGTGATGAATACTCTATGCAGTCACAAGGGAAAAAAAAGTTTTTCACTGTTCTTTGAAGTTGTGACAGAATACTCTCTGATCTACCCCTGGATACTTGTGACACAGGTCTTAATTTTGAAAGTACTCCAGCTCTGCTATTAGTTCTGACCCAGGTACAGAGATATTTCCAACTTCAACCTACTTTTGGCAGAGATTTTTTTATTGAAAAATCTTATATTAGTTACTGCTTGTCTTATTGATGTGACCAAAGATCTGAGAGGAAACAAGGAAAGAAGAGTTTATTTGGGTTTACAGTTTGAGAGGGAACAGTCCCTCACGGTTGGGGAAGGCACAGCTGTGGTGGGATAATCTAATCACAGTTCCTCCAGGGTGGACTGAAACTGGAGTCAAACCTCAAAACCTCTAGGCTCTCTCATAGTGACCCACTTCCTCAAGCAAGACTCTGTCTTTAAAATGTTCTACAGTCTCCTAAAGCACCACTAATTAGCTGGTGACCTGTGTTTAAGGACACAAGCCTATAGAGGAAATCTTACACTCAAGCCATACAAGAGAAGAAAGTCTCCTCACAAACACAGCACTTGCTAAACCTCAGAACGGGACGAATCTCACTCTAGGACACAGAATATACAGTTTCTTACCCTAGTGGGCTCTCTAGAGGCCTAAATGAAATGCATGTCCTCAGTGAAATGTGCTTTCTGTGAACAACTAGAATTTTACTTTAGATTGGCTATCTGGATCACCGGATTCATCCATTCACTAATATTGGGTGTGTGTTAAATAGTTAAGTAGAGCTTTCTTCAAAAAAATGATAGAATTATCTTATAAATGTATGAGAAAAACTCTATCTCAATCATTTAACTTTATAACTTTCTTGTGAGGTTTCTTGTCATTATTGATTATGGGTTTAATTGCGTGTAAATGGTCACTAACTTTTCCATGAATAAGCCTTTGATTAACATCAATTTTTATTTCTTCCAAGGATCCTTCCCAGCGATTGGAGTGGAAGCCTTCTGCCCCAGCTTCCTGAGGGCTGGGTTTTTAAACAGCATCCAGGCCCCACATCCAGTGACAGCAGGAGGATCTCTGCCCCCCAGGATTCCTGCTGGTAGGTATCCCAGGTACACTTCTCCATCACCATAGAAAGCGATAGAATTCTTCCAACAGCTGATAGAGAAACAATACAAAAATGAATACTTCTAAAAGACATTGAGAAGAAATGCAAGTGACTCTTTGCAATGCAGGAAGCATCTCTGTGATATCTAGTACTGTGAAAATAGAATCAATGTGGGGTAAAAGGATTTGCACCCTAAATGTCCACTTAGTGTAGAGTTTACATAAGCAAGGACTAGAGTGACCTTGCCACTTGGAATGGACCACAAAAGAAGATTGAAAACTAAGTATGTTGACGGAAAGAATAATTAGACAAATCTATGGAGGGTTAATTAAAGTTCCATTTCACTAAAGGAAAATGATTTGAAGAAAAGCCAGAAACCAAGGAAAATTTAAGATAGAAAATTAAAATTCAGTCCTCTCTAAAAATAGCAATCTGACCAAAATTATGAAATAAGATAGAGCATATCTCACATTCTAAACTTCAATTTCCGAATTTAGTGAAATTTTTCATGAGTTGTTCATTGCATCACTAATCACAAACCCTTTCTTCCTGTCTTTCAATGAAGTCTAGCATTGTCTGTCATCTTCCACTATACCCAAATAATGCAGACTTACCTTGCACTTTACATGAATGTTGACTCTTGACTTTTTAAATAAAAATGATTGTATATTTATTATAAATAATAGTAATGGTATAAATTAGGCTAATGCTATAAGTGTATCCATAAGGGCTGATCCACCCATCAGGGTAATGGAACATTTGGCAGGGCTGGAAATTCTAATTTTTAAAAAATCACAAGATGTACATTTGTTTTCTTTTTTTAACATAATGCCAACTATTCTTGCAATTATTCTGATATTTTCCTCTTGCCTTTTAATGAAATTTAATATATAAAAATCAGCTAGCAGTAAATATGCTTAAATATCATTTTCCTTATTGTTGCCACGTGGTACTATGCCTAGAAACTCTGTGGCTCACAGTACTATTGATAAAAGTAGAAACTAAAATGATGTAAGTTAAAAGACTGGTAATTTTAATTCTGACGATGCTCTACCCCTTTTGTGTACCAAGAAACAGAACGGAGAGAATGACATGGGGAATTTTTCTTGTTATTGTCAAAGATAAAGGAAAAAAACTTCATCGGCTAAGCTCTCAGAACTAATGACTGGTAATGTAGAAAAATCACAGCCATCACCTCAAACACAATGAGAAATAGTTTAATATGGAAGAACTATGAGTGACTTTAGCCCAGGACTGCATATCTAGGTTGCTCAAATCCCACGTTCCAACAAGGTCACTGATTAAATAAAGTTTCTTTTAAGATTCATTTTATGTGCATGAGTGTTTTGCATATTTGTGTGTGTGTGTGTGTGTGTGTGTGTGTGTGTGTGTGTGTGTGTGTGTGTGTGTGTACCTCATGAGAGTCTGCTGTTCAGAGGCCAAAGAGAGGGTCAGGTCTTCTGGAACTGGAATTACAGAGGGTTGTGAGGGCTGTGTGGATGCTGAGAACTGATCCCGGGTCCTCTGCAAGAGCAGCAAGTGTTTTTAACCTCTAAGCCAATTTCTCCAGCCCCTCGTGAAGTTTCATAGTAACAAAACAAAGAAAGTCGTAAATTAAGACACTTTTTAAATGCGTCTGTGGAAGCATTGGAGTAGCAGTTACAGCAAAGTGGGAAATACCATTAACCTCACATGTTAATCTGATAGTGTGCTTAACTTTTAGGTTGGTAGAAGGTAAGGGTCTGTTTTATATCCCAGAGGATTTGTCTAGGTTCAAGAATATTAGGTCATACACAGTGTGGACAATAAAGAGTCATTAGCTAAGATAACTCAAGATACTTGGTTTGGACTTGCAACATCCAACTTCTCTAAAGTTATAATGAGTCAATCAGCTCTGTAAAATGTTCAGTATATGTGTGGTTTCTCTCTGGAAAATTAATTCACACTCCAATTTTTAAAACGCAGCTTTAGTTTATGTAATTGATATCTCACTGGTGAGAATGGTGTAGATAAACACAATTAGTAGTTTAGTGGTTTAATCCTTAATGTTAGTGGAAATCTGGTGAATTTAGATGTTATCTGTCAGAAATGACATTATGAAGTTTAACAGCGCTTTGAATTATTCAGCATTACTAGCAAAACCTTGAAATAGCCCTTGTCATTTAGCCACTGGGAATGACAGAAGGAAGACGATCTTTCTATAACACAAACATAAGCTCCCTTCCAGAGAAGGATCTGAGAGAGAGCCCCAGCACTCTATTCTTCTAGGCTTGAAGCCAATTTGCCTCCAGCCTTCATAGGAGAAAAAACTCTGTTCCGTTTTCATGACTTACATACAAATCAGGTGAAACAAAATTGCTGCATGAAACATTTATAGATCTCAACTTGTTCCTGTTCCTTCAAACTGAAGTTAACCCAGCTTGCTTTTCCTGACTCATAACCCTCTCCTAAATGATCCCTGTACATTTCCTTACCTTACAGCTAAGACTGCCACATTTTCAAAGGTGATTTGTAATTTCTCTCACCCAACTCGAGCTAATTTCCTTCATAATCTTGAGTTACAAAGAATTATGCAGTCATGACATGAAGTTTTTATTGTTTCATACATTTAATATCCTGAAGTATTCCCCTGTCACATAATATCCACAGGAATGTTCCTTCATGGTTAGGATATCAAACCAAGGATAGGAAGCATGTTCCTTTCCCATAGCTACCAGGATATGCCCAGAACCAGCTGAAGGATAATGACTGCTGGGCATCTACTAATTGATTATATGCCACAGAACTTGACATTCTCTCAAGACATTTCCCGTGTCATTGAAGAATTAGCAAACCTGTTCTAGGGCTTTTGCTAATTTGGTTCCTGTCAGTCAAACTTAAATGAGATATGCAGCTATATTCTGTCCTCTGTTTTGCATCACATTCTGCTATTAAGTAACAGTTTTTCTACTATGGCATTTACTTCTAACACATAGCTTCAATCTTAGGACAATCACTAGATCATGAGACCCAGAAAACAGACAAGCTTGTCAGTATTTATGTAACAACCGTCAATCATTTGTGAATTTCTTATTTCTAGAAAGGTCAGTTTAAAGGGTTATTTTTCTGAGTCTAGGGTAGAGAAAAACAGTAGGATATATTGACTAATGCTCAATAACATGGGAGCAAGTGAAACTTTTAAATGCGTAAGTTCAGAAAACAAAATGAGCATTGAAAATCTCCCCAGTGTTTCCTCCGTGGTTAATCTTAGAAGCAGATGCCACTCCACAGCACCTCCGTTTGTCTGTACCATAACAATGACTCTTCTTCTTTTTCCCTTCTCATTTCCCTTGGAGTGTCTCTTCGTTGTGTGAGAGTCAAGGAAATGGCCAATCTGCTTAGCCTCTTCCTCTGCTCACCTGGAACTGGAAAACAGGGTAAATGTGAACACACAGTGATTCCAAAACCAGATGTGCAGCTTCTAGGTATATAACTAGTAGTATTTAACATCACTTGTTTATTTTCATAGAAAGAGATTTTAATCATTCTTAAATTCAAAGATCCAAACTGCTTTCCTGCCCCTGGCTAGTCACAATAGCAAATGGGTTCACAACCAAGGTTTGTGTAAGTCACTAACATTCCAGCTGCACCATTTTCACAACAAGGGATTCACAGTCCTGAATAAATATTACAAGTTCTCCACAGCCTATTTAACAAATATCATGATTTTCCTTTTTCTGCTTCATGTGAAATAACATCTGATATGGAGTTTGGGAAAAATTTGTTTGTATTATTATTATTCAGCCTAAGAAATGGAAATATACAGTTTAGGTGTTAAAATTAGACTAGGTAAGTTAGAAACTGCATGAAGTTTCCTGCCTGGTGATGATGATGTTCTTAGCTCTGGGCCTGTACAGAGGATGCAGAAAGTAAACAACATGAATGATGGTGACTAGGTGGCAGGTTTGAATGGAGTAAATGGTATGTTAAGGAAATTTAACATTTGTTCAAACTCAGTGCACCATGGGAAATCAACAGTGGAAATGTATACATTAAATTTTAAATGTGATCAAACAACAGTTCAGAAAAATCAAATTAAACCATTTGATTTCTTCATACTTTCAGGCATGCTAAAGGGGGTGGGCAATGACTTTTGCCTGAAACGTTTCAAACCCAGTCACGTACGTCAAACCCACATCTACTAGAAATAGTTACCCAAATGGTGATAATTAATGAATTAGTTTTCCAAAGAGCATTCAAAAATTGCCTTATTTTAATAAAACATCATTGTATTTAGTATAAATACTCCTCACAGGATACACTTTATAAGTAGGAGATCTTCAAGATGAAAAACTCCTATTATTCCATTGAGGTGTGTATCTGCTGTATATTTTGCAGTTGCAAATATTGCCATTTACCCAGGATGAATTATGGGTGAGTGTGTCCCTGTGCCCGCTTAGATCAAGAGCTGAAGGGAACTATAAAAGATGAAAAGTATGGGAAGTTCCAAATAAGCCATTCAAATGCACTATAGTAAAAATATACCCCCTCCTCTGTAGTACTAACTTCCAGTTTCTTCCTCCCTGGCTGCCTGCATGACTTCAACCCTCCACACACTTCAGTCCCTACTCAAGAGGTGTTTGTCACTCTGTTCTAAAGGATTCTCCTTCTCTACAGTTTTTACAGCTGCGGGCTTTAGAAGAAAAGCCAGAAGAATGGTATTTAAGAAGGGAAACAAAGTTGCAGACTCAGGCAGATCCAGGCAGGCAACCAGGATTATTGCTATCTCTGGTGAGAGATCATTGAGGGACAGGGTCACAGGCAGAATGACAATACACCCAGCCAGCCAACGCACAAAGAAATCAACATCTGTGACAGAAGTGCTAATCTTTTCAAGGAAATGCCCCCTTTAAAATACTTGCAACATTGGTAGTTCTGGGTCAAATATTTGCAACATTGTTAGTGCTGGGTTTGAGGGTTATTTTTAAACACCCATTTAGGATGTATTTTAC